TGATTGGCTGCATTTATTTTTGCCGCTGTCAGTCAAGAGGAAATACGCATTAAATGTAATATCAGGATTCTTTGGGCATCTCACACAATTATCAATTACGTAGCAATAATCTAAGCCCAAAACAGACTTTTTAAAAAAGACTTTCTCTTACCGTCGAGCAGCTTCCTAGAATAAACTAATCTGATACGTTACGAGCAGTAGAGGAGTGTCAATCTATTTATTCTTTTCGAAGACTTCTTAATAACTACCTCAATTTTGAAATTTGGTAATTATGTTACATAGCTTGTAAATTTGAAGTTATATTTGTAGATATTCCTTTTGTGTGACACACAGCCCAGTTTTCCAGACCAAATCTTGATTGAATTTAAAGCAGCAGGTTAATTTAAGTTTTCTTCGTTTAAACGTAGACCTGCCTTAAAGATTTCTTTGCTGTCTCCAAAGCGTTCTGTAAGGATGGTTCACCTTGGCAAACATTTGGTTTTTCTTTTTGTGTCAGAGCAGATGCATGAATTCGTGGGTTGCCTGGATACGAAACATAGAAAATACATTTGACGTGTTTTGGCATTTAATCATTAAGAAATGATAATCTGTCTTGTGACAATGAAATAATTTTATAAGTTGAGAACCAACTCCATTCACAAAGTCAACAATAGGTCATTATAATATAGTAGACTGTGATAGAGTTGGCGCGATAACAGCAATAAAATAATCTATTTGTTTATTTATAAAACTTCGGCCGTTAACACCAACATAAACAATTCCTCCATCTCATCCTTTCTCTCCCAACTGCTCATCGTCTTTCAGTGGATGTCTCCATGCCCGGAGAAAACCCAGGACTTTCGGCGGAGTGTTGACAAACTCTTTTCACACAAGTCCACACATGAGTCCATAGCGAGACTCGAACCCACAATCTCAGAGGTGAAAGGCGCTTGCTCTGACGACGGCAGAAGTGTTAAGTTTAGTACCCTCCTTTCACCACGTCTCTTCATCTTATCCATTGTCTCCCAGCAACGCATCACCCTCCTTCATGGTATGATTGGTATCCACGCTACTGTGACTCCCACTCCCTTCTCACAATTTACCCAAGCCATCACACTCTTTTTCTCTTGTCTCCTTCGATATGGCAACAAGCCACCTCTGTTATTATGTCATTGTTCCTTCCTAATTCTGTCAAAGATATTCCAAGCGTTGACAGCAGTTCTACCCAGCTGCTGTTTGCCTACCTTTCACAATGCCCATGTCATTGAGCTACACATTATAACTGGCCTCACTACATAAATTATACCCCAAGGTATAATTTAATCGGCTGTTTTGTTTAGGTATAATTATAAAATCCTTTCTCAAGAGGCCATTCCACTTTGCTTACCGCTTAGCTCACTTAATTTTTCAGCCCTCTTGTTATTTGTTGAAATGATTCCAAGCTAGAAACAAGATATAATGTTGTTACTATACTGTATATCAAAACAAAAGGAAATACTATCAACTGAAGGTAAATACATCTGAATGTTCGTTACCTGAGAAATCGGGTTTTGGTCAAAATATTCCACAATAAAATTTTCCAGGAGCTAATAAAATGAACAAAATATATAATCGTAAAATAGCTTCAATCTAAAAACAACAAGACGATGACAGACAAAACTTATCCACATCTAACTACTCAGTAAAAGTCTTTAAAAAATATAAACATAATTCTACCTTTAATGTGCAAAACAACCTGGATGGTTTAAGATCTGCTTCCTCCATCGCCTTTGACAGATCAAGGATGATATACAAGTGACGCATCTATACAATGAAATGGTGTTACTGTAATCCAGAGCTCAAAATCCTTACTATGAAAATAGCATGGATCTTACTCGAAAATAGTATGGAAATCCAAACTGCAATTCCAGTATGGATATACAGTTTGATACACTGATGCAATTGCAAATTCCAGTATGGATTTCCAATTTTTTCCAGAGTCTATGGTTAAATATAACAACAAAAAGTACAAACCATGCCAAGACGAATGTTTCCGGGTTGTGCCAGAAGTCTAGGGAACAAAAGTTTAAAAAAGGATAAAAAATTAAATTTCCTCTCAATTATTTATAACTCTTCTTCTTCTTAAAGCCGGGGACCAGGGTCAAATGAGGATAAAAGTGTGCATGTGAGAGTTAGCAGTCAACACAACTATAGAAAAATTAATAGTTTAGATTATGAGCAACAGTTTAAGTTGAAAGAACAACATTTAGAGCAGTAGGTATTCCAAGTGCGCATTCTGTTAACATCGAATGTAGAGTCCAATTGAGAAGAGTAGTGAATATGGAGCTTGATAATAATAATGATACTGCACATTCCAAAGTGTACCTGCGTCTTCTGGCACGTTGTATAAAATCATCGTCAACAAATTGCAACCCTCCTTGTGCATCTTCCTGAATAGCTTCCCTGGATTGAAAAATACAATTGAAATCACACAAATTATACCATTCCTCAGACATCAGTGATTGGGCACATACAATGAACAGAGGGGTGCGCACCACAATACAGAGGGGTGTGCACCACACCTAGCAATGTCTAGCACCCCCGTACCCCCTAGAGAGGCACAGCACCACCCATGGTCTCAAATTTAGATTTTTTCTCAATATCCGAGTGGGAAACCACGATTGAAAAGCATCCCCCATGCGAATCCAGTATCCCAATTCCTAGTTGATTCATGCAAAATAGTCAAAGCTCTTTGGTTTCTGTGACTGGACAAATAATGCACAAATCAATTTCATGAGTAACCCCCCTCCCCCCCCCCCGGGACACTGCCGGACATTTGCTGGGCACACAGATTATTGCACCGGGGCTGGACATTTTTTGGCAGCTACCTGGATACCTTCCTGGTATCTCCCTGTGGCCAGGAATTTGCCCTTTCTTTAAAAAAAAAAATGCTAATGTGCAGGTATATTCCGGGGGGGGGGGAGGAGAATGGTTACCCATGGAATTAGACAGATTTAGATCGAGGACGTCAAAGACGACATGAAAATGGGGTGTTGTGCCCATGTATGGATATGCCACGCCATTTCACGTCGTCTTTGACGTCCGCGATCTAAATCTGTCTATATTGACTCATGCATAACAACTTTAAGTTTTGTCTTGTAGCACATCTGAGATCTTGTCTAAAGCTGTCATACTGTACAATCTGGACTAGCTTCACATAACTATGCCCTTATGGTAGTCATGTTAGTAAACTCACCAACTTTTTTCATACTGATTTAACCATCTGTATCCACTCTCATCATCGTCATCTGCCGCCATCTTGCAAGGCAGAACGTTTCAACTTTATTATAAAACCAGCGTGTTTTATACAAATATCTTGGAATGAAAATGCTAGTCGAAATATCACTGCTACATTCTTAACAAATATATTTACACAATTCACAAACCAGAGACCAGAGGACCAACATGTGCGTTTTTGTACTTTTGTTGATCAAATAGTCAATACTTCATGTTATGTCATATATTGGTTTTCGACACTCCAGTTCACAGTCAGGGGAGGCCGGAAGTAAACATCCTGGCTTGCGAGGTTGGGGACGCGCTTGCCCTATTTTAATGGCGGGGTTGAAGTGAAATTTTGCCGACTCATTAAATTTTTCCCCCAAATCCCTGGCGTGCAGGGTTGTGGCGAAACAAAAATTTCTATTTATCATTATCTTTTGGGTTCCCAAATTTTAGCTATAAGAATCACACGTATTAAAATCGTACTAGAAATCGCTGCGCAAATTGTGTAAGTGTAGATAGTAGATACCAAAAGACCCCAAACTTAACTATACCCTAGTCTGTGTTCCATTCAACTATACTGTTTTGTTTGGACTGACAGACTAACTATACCCATACTAAAATAATGTTGCCACAAATTTTGCGGAATTTTTAGTTGTAACTGTAGACATTGCATTTATAAATTTTGATAATAGTATTAATTGAATTTCTATACTGCGCAAATATGCATATCATCAAATGCGCTTTACAAAGAAACCTAAAATAATTATACATACAGGCATATAGATTACAAAATTGAAAATCACGACTCAAATTTTCAACATATAACTTGAATTTGGGAATTTTGGGGGGATACAAGTTTACAATTGCGACACAAGTCTTTATCGCGAGAATGTCAGCTTCCATGTTAAAAACGATTATGTGTATGTCGAAAACTAGTCTTGTATTTTGGTGAACAGATACGCCATAGTTAAGTTAGATTAAAAATCAATTTGCCACTAGTTGAAATTTTCTTCAAAATTTTTAAAATTGTAAATAGCCATCAATTTGCTGGATCGACATAATTCCTTGACAACGATAAGGGTATGGCTGTTTACCAAATGGATTTTCATTGGCTTTCACATTTAATTTATTCTGAAGAATATCGTCGATCTTTTTCATGGAATCTGGATGGACATGTAAGCAACCATTACTATAAAAAGAAAATAAGAATAGTAAAACCCCGCATATAAGAACCTAGATTATTGCAAGTTAGCCTAAACAATTTAGACGCAACTTTTTGGGGGACATGCCCCCCTCACAGTTGTAATATGTCGAAAGCAGCCTGTCTGTGGGCTATCTTTTAAATCGTGCAGTAATAGAATTCTCGCAGAACCATGATAGATGTGCGTTTATTACTTGCTTGGCACGTATATAGTAATTCACTACAGTACACCTGTGTGTAGTTGAACTAGGCAATGCCCAATATGTTGCTAATACCTGTTTGGCATATTCATTGAAGGATTCCAGTTTTTCCATTCTCCAGTATGTATAAGAATTCCTGACCTGTAATTACTGAGGAACGTATCGTTTGCATTCTTGCCTATAGCCACGTTTCCTGGAAGAGAAACAAAATAAGAACGAAATAAAAAAAAGTTATTTGTTCAGCTGTTCTGTTCTGTTCTGTTCTGTTTAAAGAAAACAAAATAAGAACGATTAGAGTATCGTCTGTATTCTAAAAGCTCACCGATACTCACCCTTAAGTAACGTGTACCGCTCGTGCGTTGAATATTTGCGGTTGCGCGTATGATGCTAATTTGTGCGTAGTTTATAAATTGTCCTAGGACTGCATCTGCCTCGTACCCAGGCGTCTCTTTGTAAAAAAAACAGTGATGCGCATATGACGAGTTTACATGAAGTATTGTAGTGGGGAGAGATGGGCGAAAGGGCTGATGGGAAGAGTGCACTTGTTTTTTTCCTTCCCAACAGTCCCTTCGCGCGTCTCCTGCCTACCTGAATACTTCATGTATTATTTAGCATTTAAAGCGCCTGGGTACGAGGCAGGGACTGCATCAAAATTAATTCAGTAATTCCAAACCATCCGCTTCGGACTGTTAGTTCCATGTTACCTTTTAAACCTCTCACTGCTCTGACAACAGAATATCTATAGAAATCAATATATAATTAATTATTTCAAAACATAACATACCTTCGAGACGATGAATCGCGGAGCGCTAATATATTTACTGTAAAGAGCGTTTACTTCAGAGAAGTTTCGGACAAATCCAACTGGACAAGTCGTGAGATTTTTCCACAACTTGATAAAATGACAACATTGTTACAAGTTGTGGACAAGCAGTTGTTACAAACCTGTTGCGCGGAGCACGTCTTGTGGACAAGCAGTTGTTACAAGCCTGTTGCGCGGAGCACGTCTTGTGGACAAGCAGTTGTTACAAGCCTGTTGCGCGGAGCACGTCTTGTGGACAAGATGCGAGATTTTTACTGTGTATACTTACGGTCCAAAATCAACAGGATTAGGTTCTTTGGTGTTCAGATCACATTCCTATAATAAATATGCATCCCTCACAGGAATCAGGTAGGAAAAATTGTCTTAATGGACGACTTGCGCTTTAGAAAAATTTTCAATCTGGGAATAACAAAGGATATTTTCGGAAAGAAGTTATCAAAATTAGAAAAACTGCAAAGTTTGGTTGCGAAATGTTGTAAAATAACGGAAAATATAGCCCTGCGAAGTTGGCAAATTTGTATACATTTCTATTACGTGCGGAAATTGGTAACTAATTCAGTTACCAATTCACGCACGTAATACAAAAGTATACAAATTTGCCAACTTTGAAGGGCTATATTTTCCGTATTTTACAACATTTCGCAACCAAACTTTGTAATATTACTACTTCCAAGACGCTCTTTCTAGCTGTGGTGATAGATTTCGTTGTTCTTACTTAGATTCAAATTTCGTCTAAAGCGCAAGTCGTCCATTAAGAGTAATTTTTTTTGTATGTTATGCAGCACGCAATCAAAACTAAGAACATTTTACTTTCTGCATGCAAAGGCTCTATAGCCAAGATGATCTACATTCCGGAAACGTGTATTGTTAAAGCTAACAAAATATATTGTTCCATTCAAAGAATTGAAAGAAAGTCTTGTTTACTTAGCGCTAAAAACATTGAAATGAGTTGTTGTAATTTACTAATGATCTTACCACTAGCCCGGTTGGAGTGTTCCCATTATGTGTAAATTGATTGATAGGTTTCCCACTAGAGTCCAGTGCTCCATGTGCGCGGATAGTGAAACGATACAGCACCTAAAGTGTGCAAATGTATATACTGTAAGTACTATTTACAAAATGAGCGGCCATAAACTCCAGCGAGAGTTGTATATCCGATATAATACGGACACGAATGTTGTAAATGGCTTGTGAAAAGTCTTGATGAGAACATTTGTATTCTTCAACAATTTAAAATAAATGAATCATTGAATGATATTTGGTGAGAAAATTGAACTTAAAGGAACCTTGTCCTCAGCACCAGGAACCTTGTCCTCAGCGCCAGGATCCTTGTGGGGGGAGGGGGGAGGGGAGTAATAAGTAATTCATCAAGGTCACGAGTACTTTCTGGTAAATTCCTTGTAGACAAAACAAACCGTACAAATGTCAGTGAAACACTTACTTCACCGTTGGCATCCATTAATGTCCCTTCAGTTTCGATAGTTCTGTTTTTGTGCACAGGAATGAAAATCTATAATTGAATGGTCATCACAATTAATCTGCTCAGGCATCAATGCAGCTCAAACCTTACCCTGAGAACAGAGCCTGGGAAATCAGGCTCTGTTCTCAGGGTACCCAAACCTATTTCAATTGCCCCATGTCATCTTCGTGAATCACTGTATTTCGCAGATACATGTACGCGCCGCGTACCTATTTTTATGAATTTATATCATATTTTACAAGGAATTATAAAATAAAATAGGTCACCTTAAACTTATAACCATATGGTATGCCACCATCATCCTTATAACCATCATAAGATAATTGTTTTAATACAAGCGCAGCTGTGACGTTATCAAACACCAGAGGGTCGCTAAAATATAATTCAAACACATTTAATAATTCATAAGCTTATTGGCAAATCATGTCAACCATAATATGTAACGTGCAGTGGCTTTAAACCTGATAAAACACTCCTAATTAGATGATTTTATATAAAGAATGCTAATAAGGCAGTATCTATTGTAGTCGTGTCCTCATTAGTATTTTTTATATAAAGAATGCTAATAAGGCACTATATCTATTGAATTTGTAGTCGTGTTTGAAGCCGTTTAATTCATAAACTCGCAGGTCGTGTTTTATTAGGTTTAAAGCCACTCGCGCTGCGCGCTCGTAGCTTTAAACCTAATAAAACACTCCTGCTCGTTTATTAAACAGTACATAAATGATGCACTCTGGGTGTCTCAAAAAAAGTAAACTCCTCCGGAGGTTTTCGCTGTTTTATATATACATACGCGCTTCTAGTTCATTTAATTTGTCCTAGGGCAATGTCCCAATTATGCCCACAAATTTTTGTACTAATACGTTTGATATTTTTCAAGTTATCACGAATATAACTATCGCGGACAAAAACCAGTGCATTTTTTTAAGGATTCTTCAGTGGTGGGGCAAAACTGCCTAAGGGCCCATTTCTCTTGCCCTCCACCCAGGCGCAGGCACGAGTTAGCTAAGGGGGTCTGTCTGGGGGCATGCCCCACCCCAGGAAATTTTTAAAATTTGGGTCTCTGAAATAGCATTTCCTGCATTCTGAGAACACATTTTTAAAAAATCTCAGCTTCTCAAAACAAAGTTTTAATGGTGAAATTTGTAATAAATTGCATGCTATAAACATTCAAACACAACATATTTAGTTTAAGTATGCTCACCAAAAAATTTTGTTTTTTAAACTTCCTTTCAATGTTAAACTCATTTACTCAATACTGGTCCTATAGGGCCCTGGCTTTGGGGCAATAGGCCATTTATTTTCTTCCGTGGTGGGGCAGAGGAAGGGGCCCAGTAGGGCAAATGCCCCACCAGTTAATGGTATTAAAAAATGCCTTGACAAAAACATCTTAACCTTTTGGCAGCTGCAATGGTGTTATCACATTTACCATGCAAGAAGTGAAATACCTTATTATCAGATTTGCTTTCTTGTACTCTCCAACAGCTTGTGCAGTCTGTTTGTCATATAAACCTGTGGCAGCCACTGCAGTTGTGACATTGTAAGATCTTATCAGGAGGTTTTGTAAGATAACAACATCTTTACCTGACCACAAGAAATGTACAACAATGTATTATAAATATTATAAAAATTCTAATCAACATTGTTATTTATTACCGTTTCTGCTGTTGTTGTTGCATGCTGCTGTTGCTGCAGCTGTTATTCCAGTTACTGTTGTTGCTGATGTTATTGTTGTTGTTGTTGCTGTTATTTCTGTTACTGCTGATGTTGTTGCTGCTGTTACTACCGTTGTTGTTGTTGCTGTTGTCTATTTTCAGGCAATACGTACTGTTATAGTTTTATATATTTTACCATATTTCCTCTTTAGCCTAAGAGAGGAAATCCTGTATAGGAAATCCTAATTCAATTATAGTAATTGAAAGCCTGACACACTATATAGGCCTATATAGGTCTTATTAAAAAATAGAACATCAGAATCGTCAGATCTTGATCCATGAATCACCTTACCACATACTCTACATCGACCTGAATCACAAACCAACTCACCACCGCATCTTTGAACCACCTCATCTTTGAACCACCTCACCCACCCTGTACGTAGACCAGATCCTTCAACCACCTCACCCACCCTGTGGACCAGATCCATAAACCCACTCACCCATCCAGTGGACCTGAATCACAAACCACCTCACCAGCACCCTGACTGAACCTGAATCACAAACCACCTCACCCACTCTGTGGACAGGATCAATGAACCACCCTCTGGACCTCAAATATGGCCAGCCATTGAAATGAAAGGACTTTGTTAAGAGCTGTATGGAAGCCGGCCTGACCCACTTCACCAGCCTCATCTCACTGTGTAATTATGTTTATAGAATATAGTCAATATTACTGTAAATGGACAAGTGGGCTGGCTGGGCTCCCAAACTGCAGCATCTTGCTTACCAGGATAAAAATTTCTCCAACACTCACAAACTGCGCTGGCTGGCCTGGACCGCCGAGTTGGAGTTTAAATGATGTCACTGTCACAGGGCATGAAATAACAACCAATCAACGATCGGCAGGAAATTGCTTTTGATCAGCAGAGAAGCAATTAGGTTGCCGATCATCTTGATCGGCAAGAACCTTTGTCTCAAAAACACGGTTAATGTCATTAATAACATTTAGTATAATTACATAGGTGATTATTGAAAATTCTCCACGCTGATTGGTTACCGTTGAGGTGATTATTACGCGATAATCACCTAAGCGATTTTCAAAATGGCGGCCGAAGCCTTTTTGTCAATTAAATGACGAAGAGATGTGTATTTTTTTATTTTTTCCATATAATCACCTATGAAATTATACTAAAACAATTATTCACCTCAGGCTCGGTGATTATCGTGAATAAAAACCTCGACTTCGTCTCGGTTTTTATTCACCGATAATCACCTCGCCTTCGGCGAATAATTGTTAAATAAACAGAATGTATCCTATACTGATCGACCAGATTTTCATTTGATCAGCAGAAAACCATGACTGCTGATCACCATGATCGGGAACGTTATTTCGAACCCTGCTGTCACCTACTTTGAATAACTGTCAAAACAATATGTCAAGACAACAAAATTGTCCTGGCAAGCGGACTATAATTTTCTCATACACTGCATAAACACAAGACCAATACATCCAGCTTACCAACCGGGCACTGTTGCTATAAACGTACCAACACAGACTGTTAATAAGTTAAAGTTTGTCATGCACACCAATAAAGATCTTCCGCACACAATTTTGCCATCCCAACTCCCAAGCGCACAATTCGCTTACCGTAAAAGAAAACTTAGGCATGCAGTTAAAGTTCTATAACCAAGCAGGCCAACTCTCAAGTAAATAATAAAATATTTTTATTTTTAATACCTGACAATAGTGGCGTGCTGATATACAGGACTCTGGTAAATGGGGCAGGCATGATTTCAGCAGATGTATGTACCAGCACACAGAGTAAAAATTGAGTATAAGTAGCAAATAAATTCATAGCTAACAACCGCTTTTACGAAGTTTGAATATTTCTCAAACCAGGAAGTTCACCTAAATACATTACGACACAAAATTATCTGGAATTGACTTTCAAAATCAGAGGAGGTACGACAAGCAATTAGCGAGTTGTCACGTGAGCTCTCGACCAATGAGATCGCTCTATTTTCCATCGTGTTATCTGCAGAATTTGGACAGAAAAATTTGCATTCGACGGAAAATAAATCGGAAAAAAATATTAATATTAAAATTTTCTTGCAAAATTTCAAGTGTAGTAGTACTACTGCTAAAGATCTGGTGATATCTGCAGAAATCTCTGAGGTAAATGTTATTTTCAATGTTATTTTGATGTTTGAAGTTAGTCGACTCCCCACGACGTGTTGACTCAAGTCTGAATATGTTTACAATGTTTAAAATGAAATATCTAGAATTCCCATGGTTCGATTTTCTTCATTTTTGGTAGTCGTCAAGACAAAAGTATAAGCTTTAAATCTGCTGGAATGATCCCGGTGATCCCCCGGCAGTTTTCGAGATATTGACCGTTGAAGTGACTATTGTCAAATCGACGTTCGCTAAAATGGCGTCTAATACCTTGGAAAGAAAATGCGCCATCAAAGATGATATTTTCAATGAATTTTTGTTAAAGTGTTAAAATATTATTTAGAAGACTTAGGAGTTGTTTTAATATTTTTTTTAGAATTTATATCTGTGCGATTTTCAAAGTTTTGTTGTCTTTGACCGACGCGACTGGATCGTGTACGTATTTCAAGACGAGCTGATCGCCTGATACTGGGGTTTTTGTGGCAAATCGAGCTGCGGAATCCTCAGCATGGACAAATCAGTGTCATAACAGCCCATTTCAAGCCAGCAGAGAGTTTCACTTGTTTTAAAGCAATAAAATAAGTTTTTTATGTATCATATAACAAATTAAGTGGCATGTTATTGTGGGATCTTTCCCTGCTGGCAGTGGTTTCTGAGCTGAAGTGGGATCTCTGATCAACTTAATAAATATTATATAAATAGACATCTTCTTGTTTTATTGTTGCATTAATTTTAATCTGAAAAAATACTCACAAAGTAGGTCAAGTGTATGAATAAATATTCATTTATTTACTAAAGTACATTTTTTACAGTTATTTATGTACTTAGTCTTATTTACATGAGTGTACATGACAGATTGGTTTAATTAGATATACCCAGTTATCATTCATAACCTATGGTTTGTTTAAAAAATGCTGGAAAAACTAAAAAAGTTAGCCAATTGAAATAAATGCACTATTAACTTGCTAAACATAGCTTGGTAGTTGGCACTAGTTGCTATTTATTATATAAAAAACATCTGTCAACATACACTCATGCTTTTTCCTACCACTCGAGTCTCCACTCACCAGGGGCCGGTTGTTCAAAGCTGGGTTAGTTTTAGCCCATGGTTAACCTAAAATTCGAAGCAAACTTCCGATCCTGACAGCTTTTCTATAAGTTTGGAAATATTTCTTCAGAGATCTTGTCTGGATCGATAGAAGTTTACTTCTCTGAAGTTTTGAAATACACATATCTATGTGTAGAAGTACACAAACTAAAACAGCAGGTTAAATTTTAACCCAGGGTTAGCGCTAACCCACCATTGAACAATCGGCCCCAGGTGTCTTTATGAAAATTTTTGGATAAAATCCTATTTTTAATTAAAAAAGTCAACCCTATACTTGATACACTGAACATAGACATCCACAACATCTCCTGCAGCAATTAGTGGGTGCAAATACTTGCATAGTTCAGAAGCAATATAACCAACATGTGTCCATACAGTTCCATAGTCTAGATCAATAGGCAATTCCAGCTTTTAATTTATGCATGCAGGGGGTGACGGGAAGTAAGGTATCATATTGCTGATTATGCTGAAAAATTTTAATAAACTGCCTAAACAACCAAAATATTTCAATATTTACAATAGCTACCACTCCATGTTTACATGGCCACCATTTCTATTTTTTCAGCATTATCAGCAATATGATACCTTACTTCCCATCACCCCCTGCATGCATAACCTAAAAGCTGGAATTGACCATTGCACTTGGGTCCCTTGGATTCAACGGTGCTGGCCGTATTCTTACATTGAATTCACTGTGTTATCTTGTTCATGAAGAGCGAGGTATTATGCCTTTATTTTCCAAATGATGTCAATAGTTTTTCTCATGAGCAGCACTGATGCACTTGAATGGTACAGAGTGGGCGATTTCTTCCTCCCCATCACTTTCGTCTTCATCACTTAACTTGTCATCACTTTCTGCCCTATCACCTTGATCACCTCTTTCATTATCATATACATCTTGAACAGGTTCAAGACCAGCCAACCACTCAAGTAAATCCCTTTCTACAAAATCATATTAAACAAGGAAATTATTATTTGAACATTGTCATCTCTAAAATTAGCAAAAATATACAAACAGCAATATTTAGATGAAAATTAAAAAAATATTAAATTACAGTTTGCACATTTAAACAACCACCCACAACTAGATACAAACAGGCATTACACTCAGCAAAAATTTATAAAACCATACAAATAACTGAATAACAATATACCTTCAGACTCATCTGAGAACCAATGTTCATCATCTGAATGTTCATCAATTCTATTCGCTGTCAATATATGATCCACATCGAAATCCAAAATCAAAAGCATATGCTAGGTGTTTTCGTTAGCAAACTCATCAGGAGTAGGGTCAAACTAAAGGGTTAAATTATTAGAAATATTACGCCATAATTTGACAGTGTATTTATAAAATTACAGTACAATATTGAAAACAGCAAAGCGGAAATTTGACCAAATAACAACTAACTGTATTAAATGCATTGTAATATACTAACCTTAAATACTGCGCTTGTTTTCACGTTGATGATACACGGATATTTAACGCCATCCAACTTAGAAAGAAGGGCCTCGCTATTGGGAATATAAACACAATTCCTTCGCTTTGACAGACGGATTATTTATAAAGCTAAAATGACAGCACGTCCCATGCGATTTGATATAAGGTAAACTTGGTATAGTAAAACACAAGTCATAATGAGGATCGCAACAATACAGCAATAACATGCTATTTTCACGAAGTTTTGCAGCCTGACAATCTTGTATTTCGAATGCTTCCATATTTGTTTACTCAGAGAGATGTTCACTCCACGACAGTCAAAGAGTCATTGAAGCCACGCCTGGAATTAGGCACTCGAACCCATGATGCTTTGCGGCCTGCTTGTCGAACCTCCTCTGCACGACAATCTTCACAAATGAAGTTTGTATTCCCCATTATATTGTATCAATATAAAAATACACAATCATCAGTCGAGTCTGTTCACATGCATTTCGTGAGCTAAAATATCTTAGCAGAAGCCAGAAATTATATCCAAATCACACTGGGCTTCCACACTCGTTGATTTCCATATTCATAACTTGAGTAATCTCGACGGAATTAGTAAAAAGTGTGTTTAGTCACGCGGAAAGCTCGCAAGTAAAGACAATACAAGGCCAAGTCCTGCCATTTCGAGAGAGCAGGACTTCGCATTTGTAAACAGTTGGTTTGAGCATGCGCAGACCTAATTATCCAATCAGAAACCAAGATTTCTTGTATGAGTTTACTATGAAATATACTAGCAAGTCCTGCCATTTGAAAATGGCAGGACTGAAACACGAGCGCGTGTAAATCAATGTAGAATTGCAGTTGCTAGGTAACAGACCCGGCAAGCTGTGAAATTGCGTAAATATAACACAATGCGAAAAACTTTTTAAAAAATAATAACGAAAAAGACGAGAAAATGAGTCAAAATAACAATATGATAATGATAAATTTTTAAAGCTTCAAGAGAAATAAAGCAATGTTTTAGTAAGGAAATTTGGGGAAATTTTTAGTCCTGCTGGGCAGGACAAGCAGGACCGCTAGCTACGCCACTGAGAGCAATGCTGGTGTTAAATTAATTTGACAAGAAAAACTCGCTGACAGTTTCTGGCTACATTCGATCGTCGCGTGCGATCGAACAATAAGAAGCCGATATGGTCCGATATACTTGTAATACAACTACAAGAATCTGACTTGGCAATATTCGAGAAAAACGGCGCGTCAACCAGCTGAATTAAATCTTGGGTTGATTTTACACGAACTGCAGTCCTTCACTTCGAATTTGTATAGAAAATATCGCCCTAATTCTAGGTTGAAGAAACTCAGTTGAATATAGTTTTTAATTTTATCATTCCTATGTGTGATGGTCGAGTTATAATACACAGGCCGAGTAAAAACTTGGTGGAAAATTACTCACTATTTCACTTCTACTATACGATTTAATAAATGGCTTTTAACTGAGTGAAGTGAGAATAACTCCTTGAAATTGAAAGTATATGTCATAAGTCAAACTAAATATTTCAACATATTTCATATAGGTTAGTTTAGTTTTCAGTATTTTGACCTAATCATAATGGTTATAATGACCTATTTGGGAATAATAACCAATCGGTAAATTTGCTTAACCAAAAAGATTGGTTAAATTAACCTATTTTTATTGGTCGCAAAATTTGACCTGATAATAATAGGTTATTTTAACCTATCAGTTTTTACAGTGTAAATACTTGCATAATTTCGAAGTTCATATTTCAGGAAACAATGAGCTAAGACTTACATGTAAGATGTCTCAATCTACGCCATATCCCTTACAAACCCTAACGACAATTCGCTGAAATACAAGTTAGCCGGATATGTCATTAATTTAAGCAAACAAACGCTGGAATTAATATTTATGATATGCCGATTTTCGCTAATTTTAGACACATCCCAAAATATGCTCCCGATTTTGAACATTGATATCTCCGTGACTTTTTAAGTAAAATACAACTGTAATACATCAAAATCTAAGTTAGTCCTTCCTCTATTTGATGCAAGTTATTTCTCTTTAAAGCTTTACTTGTTTAGAAGTTATTACGAATCAAACAGGAGTACTTTTTTTTGGGACACCCGGTACATCAATATTTATAGTTATTTTAATTATATACATTTTGTGTCTGTATAATACGCCCTCTATATATTCCGGCATATATATCCTCTAAAGCCGGTTTTCCACTAGGCGGAATTTTGCGCGCGGAGCGGAATTTTTCTTTGTCTTTTCTAATTAGTTCCACCCGAGAAATCACAAGACAAAGAAAAAGTCCTCTCCGCGCGCAAAATTCCGCCTAGTGGAAAACCGGCTTAACGTGTAACGAGTTTGCAAAGCTTGTTTTGTCTATATATTCTAATATTTATCGCAACTAACTATATGTGGGCTTATCATTATGCACATATTGTATTGCCAAATATAGACGTGTCACTTTAAAGTGCCTATATCATGGTTTTGGAGTTTGCATATCTCGAAAGTTTAGGGATTTTAAGACACTTTGCAATATATTTTGTTATTGAAAAATTTCGTCTTGATGGATTTATTAGCTCTTAAAGTTACCGGACATGAAGTCAAAAGGAGAATTGCAAATCAGTTTTTATTTGTATCATTGCAACAAAATTCTCCTTTTGACGTCATGTCCGGTAACCTTAAGAGCTAATATATCCGTGAAGATGAAATTTTTCAATAACAAAATATATTGCAAAGTGTCTTAAAATACCCTAAACTTTCAAGATATGCAAACTCCAAAACCATGATATAGGCACTTTAATATTTGTGGGTCAATAGTCGTGGGTCGTTTTTTTTCTTCACTAAAACTCATTCGCGTTTCAAAAACTATTACAGTATATATAGCTATTTGCTATTTTTTGTAGAGAAAACGTCTGGCTCGCGTTTTGGAATTATTTTGTGGAATATTTTATATTTGATCTCTAATGCTACTACAGTAAAACAATTAGATTACTCGCTCTCGATATTTCGAGCTCGTAATCTAATTTTATATATCAGAGCGCTTATATATAAGCTACATTAGCGGATATATAAGCCCCCTGATATATTTATAGTACATTTCGGTTGCATATATATCGACAAAGTGCCTAAAAGCTAGGAGATATGTCAGCTAGAACCAACCACAGGCGGCCCAAACGTGTATTAATGTATAGTAAATATATCATTATAGAATATACTACACAGTAAAATTTGTAATGAATTTTATATTATAAAATCATATTTACTTGCCTACTTTGATTGTATGTGATCGTCTTTTATTTCTGGGCGACTTTACACTGTGTGCCTGCGACTGTCAACATATGTGATAGTAATGAAAGCAAAGGCTAACGATTCCAATTCTCAAACAGGCGACACGAACACTTCAACTCAAAAATATCCCCTTCAGATTGCTTTGTTCCCGGTAAAAATTCGCCAGCTTATAGAATAAACACCCATCTTCGAACATACAAGGCAATATTAACATGTCCTATAATTTTTGCAACGGATTTTTAGCGAAATGTTTCGAGACTAAAATTCTATGGAACTTAGAAAGCCCGATAATTACTACGGCGCCTGCTTGGCCACCTAGCCTCCTTTACCGTTTGGATTGTCATTGTCAGGGGGGATTCAAATAAAAAAACACCTATTTCCGGCAACAGCCAGCTAATCAACGCCGCGATACCGACTGTTTACAATATTTCAAATCTGATATTGTAATTTATCAACAACAAAACTCTTTCGATCGATCGATCGTATAGAAGATAGAAAGAGAGTTTTTGCAAATTACAATATCGAAAGAGATAGGGCTAGAGAATGTATCTGGATTGACATCTTGACATACATTGTTACACCCCTTACAAAAATTTCACATTAAAATTCATATATGAAATTGGAATTTCATATATGAAATGAAGATTTTCATATATGAAATTAGAATTTCACATGTGAAAAGGTAATTTCATATATGAAATTTCAGTTTCATATGTGAAATTCTCTTTTTCACATATTAAATTTCCATATATGAAAAGCAGGTCATATATGAAATTTTAATTTCATATATGAAAAACTAAATTTCATATATGAAATCCATTTCACATGTGAAATTTGGTAATTTCATATAAGAATTTTCATATATGAAAATCAAGTCATATATGAAGTTATACAATTCACATATGAAAAACTAAATTTCATATATGAAATCCATTTCACACTGAAATTTGGTAATTTCATATATATATATAAGAATTTTCATATATCGAAAATCAAGTCATGTATGAAGTTATACAATTCACATATGAAAAACTAAATTTCATATATGAAATCCATTTCATACTGAAATTTGGTAATTTCATATAATTTTCATATATCAAAATTAAGTCATATATATGAAGTTATACAATTCACATATGAAAAAATAAATTTTATATATGAAATCCATTTCACATGTGAAATTTGGTAATTCCATATAAGAATCTTCAGATTATGAAAATCAAGTCATATATGAAGTTATATAATTTTGCCATGTGAAAGTTGGTAATTTCATATAAGAATTTTCACATAAGGAGAACTAAATTTTTTCACATATGAAAAACTAAATTTCACATGTGAAATTTGGTAGCTAATTAGTAATTTCATATAAGAATTTTCATATATGAAAATCAAGTCATATATGAAGTTATATACAATTTACATATGAAAAAAGAAATTTCATATATGAAATCCATTTCATATGTTAATATCGGTAATTTCATATGTGAATTTTCATATATGAAAATCAAGTCATATTTCACATATTATGAAATTATACATTTCACATATGACAATTAAAGTAATTTCATACACGTAATTCATGTCATAGTGAATTGTAATTGGAACTGGCCTACACTGTATTAAAATTCAAAAGAGTAGATTTGACCTTTTTTAACCCTAGATTTGCAACTCGATTTGAAACTACATTTACAACCGTTATGTTACAGGAGAATAAAAGACAACATGTGAAATGTTGGCAGTTCTTTGAAGATATTCCTTCTTCAAGTTTCTTGAACTTAATTCTTCAAGCATTTTATATTTAAAAGACTATATACTGACTAATTATAATAGTATAAACTGACAGGGCCGTGCCAACCGGTATATGATTGGGGAGGGGGGTGGGCGTATTAAAAAATTTGGGCCTCCCTACCCTAGCAGGGCCCCCTCGAAAACATTTTCTTTTCCGGAAAACGGTCGCGAGTGGGGGGGGGGGACGTTATGTTTCCGAAAACAAAAGTCCCCAAAATTTTTCGCAACACTAATTTTCGACCTAAATTTCCCAGAAAATTCCATAATTCACCAAACAAATCTTTAATTTTACAAATTTCGCAATTCCAGCATGCCAGGGCCCCCTGCCCGCAAGTTGGGCCCTCAGGTGTTCCAGGCCTGAGTCCGGTCTCCTCAATTTCGATACCAATGTTTTGATTGAGGGATTGAGTTAATCTTAAATTCTTCATGACTTCATCGGAACTATATTATAGCTTGTGGAGGTAGGTATTTTTGTTATACAAAAGACCATTTTGAAAACGAAAATTCTCATGATGAGCGCTTTTTGACGGTTGACAGACTGGTGCCTAGTTTTCCTACAACACGCACAAAGCTTCCTGGAATAGCATCATTCGATCACACCGCCATATTTTTGAAATGCAGTGAATTTTCATCTGCTCGATCGAAAGATTTTTTAGTATTTTACTGGAAGCGGAAGATGGTATATTTTAGCGAGTAACTTCCAGGTAAGAATATTGTTTTGTTTTCTATATAACAGAGCAATTTTGAAAGGAAATACTTACTATCTTCATTCGTGAATTTTGAGTATGTGTTCCGTCTTAAAATGTGAATTCGCTGCGACAATATAAATACATTAGCTTTTATACAAAGGTTTACATTTGACTCAGCCTTTATATCAAATTATGTTTCTTGGGAGCGATTATAGAATACCCGGCCACTTTTGAATTTTGATAGTGTTTGCTTTTGGGGGATACGGGGATACGCAGTCATTAAAATGACGTAATTATTTGAGTAGTTTAAAAGGAGAATGGGTAACTATTATTTTTCAATGATACGGGGATACGGGGATACGCAGTCATTAAAATGACGTAATTATTGGAGTAGTTTAAGAGGAGAATGGGTAACTATTATTTTTCAATGATACGGGGATACGGGGATATGCAATCATTAAAATGACGTAATTATTGGAGTAGTTTAAGAGGAGAATCATTAACTATTATTTTTCAATGATACGGGGATACGGGGATACGCAGTCATTAAAATGACGTAATTATTGGAGTAGTTTAAGAGGAGAATGGGTAACTATTATTTTTCAATGATACGGGGATACGCAGTCATTAAAATGACGTAATTATTGGAGTAGTTTAAGAGGAGAATGGGTAACTATTATTTTTCAATGATACGGGGATACGGGGATACGCAATCATTAAAATGACGTAATTATTGGAGTAGTTTAAGAGGAGAATCATTAACTATTATTTTTCAATGATACGGGGATACGGGGATACGCAGTCATTAAAATGACGTAATTATTGGAGTAGTTTAAGAGGAGAATGGGTAACTATTATTTTTCAATGATACGGGGATACGGGGATACGCAGTCATTAAAATGACGTAATTATTTGAGTAGTTTAAAAGGAGAATGGGTAACTATTATTTTTCAATGATACGGGGATACGGGGATACGCAGTCATTAAAATGACGTAATTATTGGAGTAGTTTAAGAGGAGAATGTGTAACTATTATTTTTCAATGATACGGGGATACGGGGATACGTAGTCATTAAAAAGACGTAATTATTCGAGTAGTTAAGAGGAGAATGGGTAACTATTATTTTTCAATGATACGGGGATACGGGAATACGCAGTCATTAAAATGACGTAATTATTCGAGTAGTTTAAGAGGAGAATGGGTAACTATTATTTTTCAATGATACGGGGATACGCAGTCATTAAAATGACGTAATTATTTGAGTAGTTTAAAAGGAGAATGGGTAACTATTATTTTTCAATGATACGGGGATACGGGGATACGCAGTCATTAAAATGACGTATTATTCGAGTAGTTTAAAAGGAGAATGGGTAACTATTATTTTTCAATGATACGGGGATACGCAGTCATTAAATTGACGTAATTATTTGAGTAGTTTAAAAGGAGAATGGGTAACTATTATTTTTCAATGATACGGGGATACGCAGTCATTAAAATGACGTAATTATTCGAGTAGTTTAAAAGGAGATTTATACTAATGAGTAATATTTTGTGCAGGGTTTGGTGAGAACGTGAGAAATACAATATATGAGTAATATTTCGTGCGGGGTTTATTGAGAACGAGAAATACAATATATGAGTAATATTTTGTGCGCGGTTTAGTTGAGAACGAGAAATACAATATATGAGTAATATTTTGTGCGGGGTTGATTGAGAACGAGAAATACAATATATGAGTAACATTTTGTGCGGGGTTTATTGAGAACGAGAAATACAATATATGAGTAATATTTTGTGCGCGGTTTAGTTGAGAACGTGAGGAATACAATATATGAGTAATGTTTTGTGC